TGTCTGTCTGTGGTCGTCTTGTCTGTTTTGAAATTATATTAAAAAAGGATATAATCAGACAGCTTAAGGACAGATTATAAAAACAGCTTGGCTTCTTTTAGGATGAACAGGTACTCCTGAGTGCTGAGCCCTTCAGCAAAATCTCTCCACAAAAGCAGGTCCCTAGATGGGAGCTGAACTCTTGAAAATCTGTTCCTTCAGGCTTTCTGTCCATCTGTTGCTCAGCTGGAACAATAGTCCAAGGCTGCCCTAATCTGGGGGCTGCAGCAGGAGAAACTTTGCCTGCAGTTGAATGCTCTTCCTCCAAATGATTTCTAATAAGAGATTTATTCCATCTATTATGCATTAGCTTATTTTGGGACGTGCCAGGGCCATTTAAAACACTGTAAGTTGCTGTGATGTCCACAAGAAGAAGATTACTGTGTGAGGTAAAATATCCCTGCGGCCAGCACTTGTCACGGTTGCTTAATGCTTAGCAGTCAGGCTGTGCTGAGCTGATGGGCTTAGAATTTCTATGCGGCATCCCTTGCCCAAAGCGGATGAGAATGACCCCTTTTGTCCTGTCTGTTATTATCAGGCAGCTTTGGAAAATGAGCACTGTTGAATGAAAAGAAAGCGGCAGATGACATTTTGTTTTCTGCGTGAGCTAGTGTATAGGTTCATTGTTTTGCAGAAACGGTTTTCAAGAAGATGTGCTAACATTGCTGCTATTTTAGCAGTAGTTCTCTCGTTCAAGGCTGAATGTAGATTTGTGGGAGCTGGGGTGTCCATTTATATTAGTGAGCTTTTTCCTTGTAAAATCCCATGGATGTATATTCTGATAGGTTTTTTTTTGGGTTACTGCAACATTCTTTTCCTGGAGCATAATCTTATTTCTATGAAAAAGAGATGGTCATGTTTTCAGAAAAGTAAGTTCTCAAAATTTTTGTCTGTGTATTGAGATTACACTTACTCTGAATAATGACACTCACTATTTTAACCAGTAGCAACCATGGCTTAGGGACTCCTGTCTGTCTTGAGCGCAATAGACATGCCCTTTGATTTAAGCTCTGTGTCACCAAGTGTTAGGTCCAGAGATCCAGTATTCCAAAATACAGCTATCACGCATACAGCTCTGGAAATCTTCCGACTTTGGAGTATCTCGGTCATCTCTGTCACTGTTTTCTACAGCTGACCAGAAAGCTTTTCTGCATTATTGATGTGCCAGTGAGACATGGCAGCTGCCAGACGAGCGACCTCAGCATACTGAGTCGGTAAACAATAACACAATAATTGCTCTCACAAAAATGGATTAGGTTTGAAAGTGAGTGTCTTCTGCATACAGGGTTTTGTTGACACTTTCATGGGTGATTTGAGAATCGTTGGAGAGCCAGGAGTCTCAGCTGGATTTTCAAGTGTGCCAGCAGCCTGCCTAGGTGGATTCATATACCCCAACTTCTGATCATCTAGGTTTGGTCCATGTCAGTTAGGAGACTAGTCTTTATCTACAGTCACTTATGAGGCAGTTTGGCTCCTTTTGGACTCAGAGCAGAAGACTGTAGTGTTATTTGACTCATTCTCACAGCACTTCGTGTATAGAGGTCAGTGAGCTCAATTGAGTAAATAGGTATGGTTCCAGAAATCTCTTCAGCTTAACAAAGGATACGTCATCTTTAGGGCCAGTTTGATTTTTGTTAAGATTTTTAAAATTCACTAGAGCAATATTCCATGGTTCACTTGTTTCAGCAACGAAGAAATAGCAATGACACGGGTCGTCTTCTGCCAGCTGGCTGCAAGTAGTTTCAAAATGTCAGATACCAAGGTTGTGAGCGTGATGTATGAACAAGGTGCTAATGAAGTGCAGGGCTTCAGTACAGTAATACTTTGGGAGACTAATGTTCCTTCATTTCTGTCTTCCCGAAAGCCTTTGCATCCCTGCACCACCTTACTGCACCCTAGCACATCGTGATCATTGAATTAATATCCTTGCAACTTCTCTGCATGCCTACCAGCACGTGGCTTCAGGATCACCTCAGTTCCAGCTTGAAGTCACTGGTCCCCTGCTCATGGGGACATGGCAGGAATATATGGGGAGGTGATGAGGGGGCAGGCAGCCGCACACTTGGGCCAGCTGAAGCTGATTGAGAAACCAGGACCTCAGACAGGCTCTGAAACTTCTTACACACCCATTCTCATCCGTTAACCTCTGCTCAGCAGTGCACAGCCTGGACTGGCACAGCTAAATACAGAACCGTGGGAATCCTGTTTCCCAGCTAGGGACTGACCTCAATGGAGTCCCTGTATGGATATGCTGGAATTACTTGGCAGTCCAACTGTGGCTTCCTTAGAAGGGCGGTGAGGGGAAGCAACTTGAAGGCAGAAAAACAACTTCTTCATGTTCCTACTGGTAGCAGTCAAGCCCTGCGGGTTTGGCCCCGTGCCCTGTAACTGCCAGTTGAGTCCCCCTGGCAAAACTGAGAGCGAGCCAGCGTAAGTGGACTGGTTTGATGGTTAGACTAAACAGAGAGTTACTATCAGGAACTTTCAGTTCAATTAATTTTGTTTTACATGGCTGTTCTTTATGACACTTTTCATGGTTCGCTTCCCTTTCCTCAGTATTTCCCACCATTCTGATACTCTTTGCTGCAAGTACTTCATCTGACTATTAGTAAACTCCTTGTTAACTTCACTGGGGTGGAGGGCTGTTGCTTGGAAATGTATTGGCTCATGTATATAGGTACCTGTGGCATAACAGGCTCTTATGCATCACAGGGGAGTTGTAACTCTGGATGGACAAGGGGTCTTGTCAAAGACTTTTTGTCACTCTGTAGGTTGGCAAATCCTGATCCATATTGTCATTCACTTCTCAAAGAATACATTGCAAGGCATGAATTGTGCAAATATCAGTTGCTCCTTCCCCAGTAGATTGGATTTATTTGTGTCTACTAATTCTATTTTTAATCAATTTGTCAGCTCTGAAAGACTCAGTCCTACTGTTCTTCTGGTTTTGTTGTTAAGTATAATGGCTCTCATTTTTTACCTTTTCCTTTAATACTTATGTTCATTGAGTGATAGATTTCATATCACAGTTAATAAAGCAATGAATTTGAGTTTCTGTAGCAATCCTGACTGAAAGCTGTCTGGCTTGTACATATCATAACTTTAAATTTTGTCAGGTTTTGGAAGAAGGCTTTTTTACAAATGCTTCAGTTTGAGGCAGTTCCTTGGCGCTCACCTTTCAAAAGTAGCTCAAATTCAGAAGTCACTTGAGGCATATCCATAATGAATATAAATGCGGAAAAAAGAAAGCCATGGAAGATTCTGCTGCTTAAAAAAGAAGGTTTGTATCATAAACAGTTCAGCAAATTAGTTGCTGACAACTGCAGATAGCTTTAGTGTATTGAATAAGGTATATTTCCAAATAAGTTTCTATTTAAGTTCTGCATGGGGCTTGCTCTTAGGCCTCTAACGTGCAGCATTTCCTGTTGCTAAGAGAAGAAGTGGTGGTAGCAAGGTAATATCATTCATGAGTTCTATTTTGGTGATAATCAACTTGTGAAAATAACTGGAAGTAACTGGACTCCGCTCTTTTGTGTGCAGCTGTAATCGGAAGAAGATTTTACAAGATTCTTTAATGTAGCTGGAATGTATGTGTAATCTTTTGACCTCGTTCTTAGTTTTTGATGACTGTGGTATGTTAAGTGCTGATAATTGGGTTTGCTCTAGGCTGAAAGCTGACCTGCTCTCTGCAAAGGAGAAGATCAGATCTTCTGTTGTAAGAGGCACTCAAAGCAGCTACCTCAGAAATTACAAGGCAGTAACTGCTAAGAGCAAGGATCTCTGAAATACGGCAATTTCTTGGAGAGGAGATGCTCTCTTCAGGAATGCTTCTTTTTCAGCTTAGTTTGAATTTGACTTTTCACCAGAGGTTTTTGTCCTGTTCTCTGAGTTTTCTTTTTTATGCCGTCTGGTTTGCCTCAGAACTCAAGCTGCCCTACTGTGAAAGTTGCCTTGTAGCTTCAGCTAGTGGAACATGGCTCCTAGGTATGAGAGCAAGAGGCACATGCTTTTCACTGTGTTCTTGGGAGTCAGCTCTCCCTGTTTAAGCCGTGTGCAAATGAGGCATCTAATCCAAATTAGTTTTTAGCTTCCTTCTCCAGCCAGTGGGGAGAGGAGGAGATCTTCAGAGATTTGTTGCATCCAAATATCAGTGTTCAAAATAGATGGGATTAGTTGTCCTATGGAGATGTATGTCTATTTCCACTGAGTAGCAAAGAAGCCTAAAAATTAACTTTGTCTCACTGTCAAATTTTTAGAAGACTAATTTTAGAGGAAGTTAATCCTGTCCTTGGTTCAAAAAAGTACTGAGTGACATTTGTAAATTTTGCAAATAGCAGTCTGTCCAACTAATTATCTTCCAGTCCTTGCTTGATTTAACTTAAATATGATGTAGTCTTCATATCATGTCTCCTCTGGGAAAGATGAGGGGAGTGTCTAACACCTTTATGAAAGGAGTATGCAGTAGTTAAAACCGGCAGCAGGCACTGGCAAGAAAATGGAGCCAAAGGGATGTTTTAAAGACCTGTCCGAAGGGATCAGTGCAATGATCCGACCTGCACTTTGTTTTTCAAACCATCCCTTTTCTGTCTGTCTATAGCAGTGTTGCTAGAACTGCTCTTCTTATTTTAAGCTTTGTGTGTGGGAGGAGTAAATCTGTTTAAAACAAATGTGATTGAGTGGTAGTTTGCACAGTACAGTGTTGTCAGCCCTGCTCTTCCAGTTCCCATTGCGTTCCTTGGTAGTTCTTAAGAATACAAAACCTGAGTACCATTAGAGTATGTCAGACCAGCAGTCCCTCCAGCTCAGTGTCCTGTTCCTGCCAGCCACTAACAGGTGCAAGTGTACCTGTCTCTAATCATTTCCCAGCCACCACCTATTTTCAACTTAGCAGACTTCCTAGCCGTAAATCTTTCTTGTTAAATGAAGAACTGCAGCTGACTTTCTTGTCTCTTATGTTTTAGAACTAAAAAAACAAAGAAGGCATCTGCTCCTCCAACCAAGGAAGAGAAACCCAAATTAACCATTTTTGAAGATGAAGAAGATCCTGATGAAGGACTGTTTGGCCCAGAAAAAGATTTCTTATTGATTGATCCCAGGAAGAAGATGAAAGAGAGTAATTCTGTTCTATACTTGTATATACACAGATTGTTTTATCTAAAGCATGTATATAACTGAGCTTTTAAAATGTGGTGATACAGAGTATACAGGCTAAATAATGACTTGGGAATGTGAAGGCATAAATCTTCAACTGGGGCAGAATCATCTAGAATCATTCAGAAAGAATAAAGAAGACCTGTAGTTCCCATGGCTGTTCACTGTTGACATTGTGGGTTTGGATATTACAGGGCTGTTGGAGCTGGCTGTCCCACAGTCACTCATGCAACACTAACAAGAGTAATGTCACCTACTTTGGAGTGCAAGAAGAAAGCAGATTTACCAGATCCTGAGAGTGCAGAGTATTGCTGCACTTTGTGGATTGGAAGTTCTTGTAAAAAAAGAATTGTCTACATGATCTGTCTTTTCAGCTCAGTAGCCAGATTTACTAGCTAGTGTTAATGCAGGTGTTGTGTTATGTAGCATGATTAAACTACATAATTTTCTGGTTCCACTTTCTAGATCTGAAATTATTTGAAGATCCAGACCTTGGTGGGGTGGTAAGACTGGGTGACTCACTACTGCTGCCAGCTGCCTGTAAGAACAGGGAGCATGTGCTGAACACGGGTCCTGAGGAGGACACTGAGGAACTGCTGAGGTACACATCTCAAATCTGTGGTGCGGGTTGCAGGTGATCTCGGGCAGTATTTAGACCTTAAAAGAGATGAATTTGAGAGCAAAGATTAAAGACTTTGAATGCTAACTGTGAATCAATACTTCTGCTTACAAGTAAAAGGTAAGATATGTGTCATTGAACTTGGAAATCAAACACATTAAAAAGGAAATTAGCAAGACCCTGTAAGAAAGGTAGGGTGCAAGGTATTCTCCTGTGACTCCAAAGGAAGGGTCCTGAAGGCCCAGGCCATGCCGTCTAGTCCCCGTTTTCTAACATGACACTTCCACTTTCTGCAAGTGATCCACAGGGGATGAAAACTGACCTCCGTTATGAAAAGTGACAAACAAAGCCCAGAAGCAAAGAGGAATTCAGCTTCAGTGAGCTGAAATTGGGCGCTCTTGCCACAAGAGGAGTGATTTTCTGCTGGTGGCTCACAGACCTCCATGCCCACTTCCTGGAGGAATCCTGAGCACACCTCCACAGCTGTAAAGGACTCTCATTAATCACCCTGCATTTAATTTTTAATCTAATGGAAAGGAGGGCCAGAGCTCACAGTTACAGGAAGGAATAATGTACTTGCTCTTACACTTACCTGCCACCTTGTTAGTGTAGCGCTGGAACATCTCATCACTTAATGTGTTTTATTCCTGACATCTCTCCCAGAAGGCGAGTTTGCCTGCACTGGTAATGCTTAAGAGATAAAGCCAGGGAGCCAGTGCCCAGAGACCAGCATCACCAGGGAATCTGTGCTGCACCAAAGAGCCAGATTCATGCCTTCTGGATCTCAGGCTGGAGTCTGAATGATGAGGCCAACCTGCTTCCAGTGGTAATCCTTGCCAGCCAGCTCCTGTTAGGATGTATGATTTCCACAGCACGTACTAAACCCAGGAGAGAGAATCTGTGTGTGGTTTCAAACATCTTCTGAAGCAGGTAGTTTTGCAGCTATTGCTTTCTATGCATGCAAAAGTGCTAGCTATTGCAGCAGTAATACCTAACAATTTAAACAGAGGTTAAATTGGGTTGTGTGCTATCTCACATTACATCCTGACAGCCCACGTGATGTTGATAGAAGCTGATGAGGCAGGACATGACCAGATTTAGTACTGTAGTATAGTGGGAGCAAACACGTATATGCTTGCAATACTTTTGCGTTTGCTTTCTCCTCTGCTAGCAATCTCAGCATATAGTGCTTGATCCAGATTGTTCATGTGGCTAGAAGAGAAGTGCCTGTTTCAATGCAGTCCTTGCATTATTATCCACTAGTGGAGAGAGCTTCTCCATCTGTCGTGTTAATGTCCTTTGGATTATATGTTTTCTCTTCCTCTGTGGCAGAGAAAGGTCTCTGAAGTCTGCTCCGAGACCAATAGACCATGCTTTTAGATCAGTTTGGGGTCATCAGTGTTAGCAGCACACCCAGGTGGTAGTGGAAACCCATGGGAAAAGATTCTGTTTCTTTTAAATTCCAGTAGTTTTCGTTTATTCTTGAATTGCCCCAGTACTTTCAGTAGCTGACAAGTCATCAAGATCCAGTTGGAAATGAATGCACGTAATGAAGCAGAAAATCATGCCAGCATTCCAATGGGAAAGTTGCTACAGGAATCCAGAGGCAACTCCTGGCTGTGCAAGAGGTATAGGCAGATAAGCCAGGACCTGTTGACCTGTTCGGGTGCCTAACACCCTCTGAAATCCGCCGGATAAACCTAGTTCACAGTGTTATCTGCACATCATAGAGAGCTGGTGGACTGAACTGCAAGGCTACTGGGGGTAAAGGAGAAGCTGTTAAAGGAGGGAAGAGTAGAGGCAGTGCTATTTTATCCTAGTAGAATGTTTCACCTCGCCTGTATATAAATTCATTGCAGTCACCTGAAATCCTGTAGCTGAACTTTCTAAAGTGGTAATGAACAGTGCACTTTGTTTTCTGTTTAGCCAGAAGCCTTAGCAGAACTGTCAAGTCTAATACAGAGACAACATTTGAATCATCTTCCACCTTCCCTTACCACTAGACTGGTGTCACATGTTCTTGCAGGGCAGTGCCGCAGTCTCTTTTCCATGCGGTGACCCTTTACAGTGAAAAGAAGTGTTCAATGTGAGTTGAACCTTGCAATCTCTCTGGCATGGGGCTTGAGCGTATGTTGAGGCCTAAGAATAAATCTTGCCTTTGCCCTGTAGATGTCAGCAATCCCTCTCCCCTCCCAAAGGGGACTGAAGAAATCTCTCCCCAGCCCTCAGATCAAAGTGGGAGCTGTGATGACCCATTCCTCCAGTGGGCTAGAGCTGGGTAAGCTACTAGAGGAAAACTGGCAGGCGTCTTGGTCTGTTGGACATACTCTGTTACACTATACAGAAAATTTGCCTGGACGCATTTTATCAAGACGTCAGGCTGCCCTGAGCTATGATGCACCAGCAGGTCTGTGGTAGGTCCAGAAACCTAGACATGTTCGCTGTACACAGATGGATTAGCTGAATAATGTAGATGTGGTAGCTCTTGACTTATGTAGAGTACATTTGCATGTACCACATGGTCTGCTCACATGCATGTGGTAGATCCGAGAAGGGTCTGGCTTACTGGGAAATGTACTTTCCAGTGAATCATGGGCAGAGATAGGAGAGCAATGCGTAAAGCAGAGGAAGGCAGAACCTTCTTCCAAAGGGGAGATGGGAAAAAGATGATGTTCAGAGCAGAACACAGGAGCAAGCAGGACCTTCGTGATCTTTATGGTACCTGAGTGGTTGTAGCAGCAGTAGCACTACAGCCCTGTCAGCACAGAAGTGAATCCCCAGCAGTGACTTGTAATTCTAGAGGAAGAGACTGTTATGGAGACAAAGGAGTCTGCAAAAGGTGCGTGGGCTGTGCTTGTCACAACATGCGGGAGAAAAGAATATGATAAATGTTCTCATTGCAAACTGAAGACTGTGCTCTCTGTGGATACCTGCTCAAATGAAATGAGAATTACTATTTTAAATAGGATCACCTGCTTTGCATTAACAAATGTCGAGCTTTGAGAAGAGCCAATTGCTTTGAAAATGTAATGAAAGATTTCTTTTTGTGGCAATAAGACCCATGTCCGTTAAAACAAATACCTTCCCTCTTCCTGTTCATTGACCAGCCTTTTACTGGTTACTAATTTCTTGGCCTACCAACAAATAGTAAGTGATGGTGATGGAGAAACTAGGTGAGCTACCTCACTCGAACCACTGGCATTGTAGATGCGGGCATGCTTTCCTGCCACTACGTCTGCTGTAAAACATCAGTGAGGTGCCTGTAGAGCACTGTGCTTTCATGTCCATCCACAACTTAGGGCCACAAAGATAATCCAAGGGCTGGAGCACCTCTCCTGTGACGAAAGGCTGAGAGAGTTGGAGCTGTTCAGCCTGGAGGAGGGAATGCTGCAGGGAGACCTTATTGCGGCCTTTCAGTACCTGAAGGGGCCTATAGGAAAGATGGGGAAAATCTTTTCAGCAGGGCCTGTTGTGACAGGACAAGGGGCAATGGCTTTAAACTAAGGGAGGGTAGATTTAGACTAGATATAAGGAAGAAATTTTTTACCATGAGGGTGATGAAACACTGGAACAGGTTGCCCAGAAAGGTAGTGGAGGCCCCATCCCTGGAAACGTTCAAGGCCAGGTTGGACGGGGCTCTGAGCAACCTGGTCTAGTTGAAGTTATCCCTGCTCACTGCAGGGGGTTTGGGTTAGGTCACCTCTAAAGGTCCCTTCCAACCCAAGGCATTCTATGATTCTGACTTGTGGAAAAGAGATAAATTGCTGTGGTAGGAACAAGCAAGATCAAGTCCAATCATGTTGCCTTCAGGAAAAAAGGAGCATGTCATGCTCTTCCTTCATGGGATGTGGTTTGAGAAAGGGAGGGATAGGTAACCAACTCTTTTTGGCTTATCTCTTCACCACAGGGATACGGAGGAACTCAGGCTTTTCTGAGGAGTCCTGGGTCCCATTGCTTTTGACTCTTCCAAGGTGCAAGGTGACCAGCTGCAGTGAGATGAAAGGGTAGCTGATCAACCCTTTCCCAGATGTTAAAAGAATTATCTTTGGGAATGGATTTAGGACGAGGATTCTCTTTTCTCCTGTCATTTTCCTGGGTCACGTCATACCATATAGAGATTCATTCTGGATGCATTTGGCTATTTACCTCCACTCTCAAAGGTCCTCTTCAGGTCTGATTTCCATTTAAGCTAGAGACAGAAATCAGCTTCCACAGAAATTAGTATCCTCATGGATTCTCATGCCGTCTTATTTTCTCATGTCCGTACACCCAGTGGCCGCAGATGTGCAAATTAAGTTTCCATGCAGCAGGACTGCAGTCGACCTCTTCTGCCTCATTAATCTAAATTGTGCTTGCCTCATGTGATGGATCAGGTGTTTGTGGAAAACCAATGCTAGAACTGATCCTGTGAATGTTGCAACAGCTCTGTGGGCCCACGGAATTACACAAATTATCACACATCCTAGCCTGAAATAATCACCGCAGTTGTCTGAGCAGCTTTTTAGGAGAGATTTAATTAACTTCACCTTTGATAATGAAAAGGGAGTTGAACTGGAAGGAAGCAGCTGTCAGTGTAAGATCTGTCTTTTTCCAGTGCTGAGAACAGTGCCAGCAGCAGGATCCCAGTTCTGCTGCGCTGTGATGGTAGACCTGGTTTGTTCTTTCTTAGGATTATGCTGATCTAAGCCTGCTGTTGTTGAAAGGGACCATCCAGCTCTTTTTGCTACAGCCGCAGCATCCTGCCTGTGCCCTTAAAGGAAGATTTTGTCTGTATTTACAGGTTGGTCTGTATTTACAGCTGTGAACTGTGCCATCGTGATGGAAGTGATGACCCTCTCAGGACCATTACATTGTTATTGTGAAACCGCATCCTAACAACGGCCATTTCTAAACGCCGTTCAGTCTATACAGTTTCCTGAGCAGGTTTGTTAGCTTCAGGTTTGCCAAGGAACTGTTGCCACCTTTGACATGGAAAAAGTTTGTATGTTCTTCATTCAGCACGCCGTTAGCAGATGCTGAATTGAGAGAGCAACACTTACATATTCGGACTAGCCAGGAGTCGTATGGGACACCACCTCCAGCACCACATGATGAGAAATGCTTTCTTGGTGTCCTGAGGATGTGAGAGCAGCACCATAGTTGGGAGAAGAGCTTTGAGAAACTGCAGAGGGTTTAAATCTAGATCCTTTGGGCAGAGGGTTGTTTGGGTGATGGGCAAGTGGTAGAGGGGGTTAAAATAACCGAGTCAGAATTTCCTGACCTTGATTTGGCTGCAGTAGCTCTCACTAGACAAATAAATTCTTCTTTTCTTGATGGTTTTTGGTGGATTTTCTTTGCTGCCCAAGAGCACTTTGCATGATGGTTTTCAAGCATTTACTTTGTTCATTTCTTTTTTTTCTGTGATGTATAGGGATGCTATTTACAAACAGTGAAAGAGCTACAAAGTAAACTTGGCCAAAAGAATAGAAAGGCTTTTGCCAGACAGGAATCATAAATTCTTGCCCTGCCCCTAGGAACATGTATGGGTTGTACAGAATAATGCAGAGAGGTAACCTAAAGTCCTAGTCCTTCCTAGTGTAGCAAGAGATGGTTTTGCTAGGCTGAAGAGTCACCAGATTTCAACCGTCTTACCCCAGGTTGCTTGCATTTGTGACACCCGTCTTCAGCTGGGGGGTAAAAGCTGCCTGCTCCCCCCCACCCATGTCTTTGCCTAGTGACTGGGGAACTTTCTAGAGAAGCTGGAGACGGAGGTTTGAACATCTTCAGCTGAGGAAAAAAGGAACCAGCTCTCTGGTTCAGACTGTAAAAATCGAATTGTCTCATTTCCTGGGTGAGTGATCTAACCAGTAGGCTGTTTTCCTCAGAGGGCTTCTTGGGAGCCTGTGCATGTAGGACTTACCTGCACTAATGAGCCTATTCTCTGGCCCTCAGCCATGCAGCACCATGGCTGCACACATGCTGTTAGACTCTCTCCAGCTCCAGAACAAAGTGACTGCATGCAGCTGCCTGCTGGGAACGGTCCCTGTCCCACACCAGCTCCAAGGTGTGCCTAGGAGTTTTTTGGAAGAGGGCTAATCTGTCCCAGACCAAAGCTGTGCCAGTGGTTCTTGCAGCATTTCAACAGTACAGACTCTCACGTTCCACTGTCCAGACATATTTCCTGGCACTGGTTAACGTACCAATATGAACTTACCTGAAATGGATTGCAGGGGAAAGCAGGAGCCGGAGGGGAGATACCTCCTATGCAGCCCACTGTGCTTTGTGCTCTTGTGGTTAACTCCAGCCTGTGTTATTTCCATAGGCCTTGTTAGACATCACACTCTCTCTCTACTGACCATAGCAGAAGTGATGGTCAGCAGATGCTTCGAAGCCTCCTGCCTATTTTGGGGCACCAGTCTTTTCCCAAGACATATGTATGATACTACAGCTGTCCCCAAGGCTTCACTAGGTATCTCTCGTACTTGGAATTAACATCAGACAAAATAAAGACACCGATAATAAGATAGGGAAAGCTTTTCTGAAATAACTGCTGTGAGTTGCATAACCTAGCTTCAAGCATGATCCTTTTGGATAGTTTAGCAAATTATGGGAGTTTTTATCTCTTGCTTTCAGTACAGATTCTCCTCATTAGAGCATTCCTAGCAAGCAGAGGTCACTGTCCCCATCATGCTAGATGCTGTACACGCACATAGTCATTCCTGTCCTAAAGATCTTGTCCGGATAGACAGGACAGAGTTCAGAGAAGCAGCATCTAAAGTGTTGATGTTCTGATGGCAGCTGCGTCTGTCTCCGAGTCAGAACTTGTACAGTCTCTTGAAGTCCACATGCTAGCAGCCACATCACAGGGCTTTGTGACAGCCTTTCTTCAGTAACGGTTTTGATTGCTTTCTCTGTCTGGAAACAATGAGATTCCGTGAATCAGCACAACAGTATGGCAGGAATTTTAAACAATGTGGCACTGCTTTTCCATTACAGAAAAAGAAAGAAAGTAATTAGAGAATGATTAATTACATGGATTCTGTGCCTGATTGTCCATAAAAAGATGGGGGATGGGGGTGGGAAGGTTCTTCCTTTAATCTCCTTGTTATTTCAGAACAGTTGCTTGATTTTTTTTTCTTCCTCCTCCTGGCCTGGAGTTAAATATGGTGGTAGTTATGCACTGTAACAATTAATTTTCTTCTCAAGAAATAGAAGTCCTTGTTTCTATCTGTGCCTGAGGCATTTTGCATTTTACCTCTTTAGTTTTCCAAAGACAGTTGTGTCTCACATGATCACATGGCAGTGGATCAAACAATTTGCCTATCACTGCAGCACTGAAAAGCAGGTTTTGAGACAAAGACCTCATATTATCTGCTGTGTTCTCTGTAAAAGGCTTCTGTCTAACCAAGGTCTTTAAAAAATTCAGGATGAAAAAAGGTGATTTACGTGATCAGCTTCCAGACTTTGAAAAATCCTGTCCTGCAGAATTTTTGGCCTAAAAGTACACTATCAAAAAAACCCCACCACCACTCACAAAAATAGCCACACAACCTACTGGACTGCATCTTTTGTGGTTATTTTATGACTCTACTGAACGGTTCTGTTCCTGTGATTAGCACAGAAATTAATAGAGCCACACAGGAGTAGAGAATTCAGGAAGCTGTACCATCTGATCAGGTTAATGAGCTGCATGTACTGCTGCCCCTGCTGGGCAGTGCACCTAGTCCTCAGGCTTGCTCCATATGATCTGTACATAGAAGTACAGATCATTCATCTGGTTATTATGGTTTCTGTTATTTATGACCAAAACTTTATGACATGGACACTGATTCATTCAGTATTTATTTATGCCAAGGAGGGAGGCATCAGATCAGCTAAAGAAAACTAGACTTCAGAAATACCAGCCCTAACATGTTTTGCTTATTACACAGCAAAGAGAATAAGAACATGTCTTGGCAATGTGATCACAGGTGTGATACCTCTTGGATATCAGAGTTTGAAGCAAACAAAGATGTCTGGGTTTAAATTAAGTGAATTTCTTCTATGTAGATGAGGAATTCAGAAGGAAGGAATACACCGAGAAGGTGTTTTGTAAGTTAGGTGGGGTATGTCACCCACAGGGAATCACAGAAACTAAGACACATCAGAAATCTTACTATCTAAATAAAAGAGAATATAATCTCCAGAATTGCTTGGGGCATGAAATTTCAGGTAACAGCAGGAGCTGCCTGCTGGAATACAAAGTCCACAAGGTGGAGTTCAAGGTGCAGAGCTTTGAGACAGTGCCCCAGTTCTGTCCATCGATTGATCTGTTTTGGTATTTTCTAGTTTTAGATATTAGTGTTCAGGCAGTTGATTTTACAAGATTAGACTTGGTTAAACCTGAACCTTTTTAGATTCCCTCTGGGAGTCAAAAAAGGATCAGACTTCAAGAATGGTTTTATCTTAAAGGCTTCTGACTATATAGCAGAAAATTCAGGCTAATCCTTTTTCACTGTATGACCAAATTCATGGTAGATGTAGTTTGTTTCAGCCTGGACAGTGCAGTCATGAGTTCCTCACAGCTTTTAATAAGGGTGAATGCAAAAAAGAAACCCTTGAAATTGTGCAATTTTTCTTAACAGTAGTGGAATCCTTAGCTGAGGGTGCTGGAGATGTTTAAGTTGAGAAGCGCTGCTGTTGAGTGTTCTCAGGGTGTCTGAGCATTAAAATCTTCATGACTGAGCATTCTCCAGTGAAGATGGTGACATCTTCTTTCATCCAGCTGCTCTAAGCCTGCGCCACGCAGTTTTTGGTCACAGTTTTGGTGCGAGGACGAAGCCACTCTGAGTTTGGCTTCTGAAAAGAACGATAAGCGATGCTGAGCTAGTGCAAAGTAAACAGTTTGATTTTAGAGTCCAGCTTCTTCAAGCTGTTCCCTTGCAACAGCTTCTCATGAGGGAAACCGTTAGATTGTCCAGTTTCTAATGATTGAGCATGGGGGGATGGGGATGAAGAGGAAGCAGAGCAGAATGTGAAAAATTTTACTACCCCATGAAAATTTATGAGCTCTTGAGGAAACAAACCATCCTGTCACAGATCAAAACCATTTTTTTTCCCCAGACTAAAACCAAGTTGTTTTTATTTTGATAATTGCAAATTGCTTTTAATTTAGACATTTGAAAACCTGCTGTAAAAGTAATTAACTTGCATGGTGAACTGAAAAATCACATTATAAAAAGACAGTTCTTACTTTGGTAACACTGAAACTTTCATGGAAAGCTCTTCCTGAAAGAGAAATTCATTGAAGTTGATCCTTTGCTAAGGAAAATTTTATTTTGCAATATTCCATTTTCTTACAAAACATAAAGCAGTTCAGAAATTCCCCAAACGTTACTGATTTTTTGTTCTCATTCCAGAGTTGAAGATGATTTAGAGAAACTCTTGAAAGTAGCCTCCAAACCAAAAGCTAAGGTACCATCAAAACCACCGTTGCCTCAGAAGCCACCAGTTGTCCCCAGGAACACTAATTCATCTCGACTGGCAAAGCCAAAGGAAAGCAGCATTCAGACAATGAATGAAGTGGACATTCTCCAGTATATCCAGGAAAATGAATCTATCAACAACCAAGATACAAGTCTTTTTTGAACATTCATATTTTTTAAATCTCATGACGCCTTCTTGGCCCAGTCTCCCAGTGAGCTCAAGTGATGGTAGCAAGAATTGACCAGATCTCTTTCTGTACCGTCATACAGAGAGCAGCAAGTTTGACTGGCAGAGGCTTGACACGATACATTTAAAACAACGCCATTGTGGTATAATGTTGCCTTAGATTTTCAGGGGTTTACAAGGAATGTGGACAAGGGCATAACATTACATATTGTCTACTACTATTTTAGTATCAACATAGTACAGTTTTGGCCAGTTTAGTCCTGATTGAAAATGGTAAGTGTGTTGCACACATGGCATCTCTGAGTAGTGTGCAACAAATGGTCTGAGGCAGGACAGGATGCTGTTCCTGCCATTTTAGACAGCGTATTTCAACTCACTGAAAAGGTAGTTTTCCTTTTATCCTGCGCATTTTTGTAGCAGCCCTTTCCTCCCTGGCTGGTATTTCACTAATTATAACCAGGAACTGTTAAGTATGGGTAACAGTTCCCCTGTAGTTCAGAGAAACACTGAAATCCCAGCTAAGCCTGACAATCTGATGCCTTTGTTGCTGCGCAGATGCGAACTTGTGCAAGAACTTGTAGGACTGCGAGGACTAGACGCTATGCATCTCTGGCCCCTGGGGAGAATAGCAAATGACTGAAGATGGCTAAGAATGCAGCTCCAGACATACACGGAGGTTGCAGGGTGTTGGAGATTTGGATGCTGTAGGCCTGTTGGGAACCTACTCGAGATTCACAAGAGCTATTTTTTTCCAGCCAAGTCTTCCTGGGCTTCTACTGTAGTTAGTGGAGAGAAAGAGATTTCTCCAGGAGGTGACTCAGTGCAGGTGTCCTAATGGAGGAGCTCTGAATTGCTTTCTGGAGTGACTCTCTCTTTCTCCTTCCCTTCTCCCAGAACTTAAAGAAGAAGCCATGGTGATTAATTCCCCTAAGCTAAAATGAGTTTTGTTCATTACTATGGCAATGGTTAAAACAAGGGAAGACTAACTTGGGATTATCCAGAGGAAAAAATAGGAAGAAAATACACTGGAGAAATTTTAATATGCAGGAAAAGAAAAACGTGGTAGAACGGGCATCCCAGACACACCCCATTCTTCCCCGGCTCAGGCACTCTGATTGAACATGCTGAATTTACATCTAATGTGGGCTGATACCTGCTGTCGTGTGAAGGAGATTCCTGAACTCATTCCACGTGTGTTCTATCCAAATGTTAAGACAAGCTCCCCAGAGGGAAAATATTAATATATTGAAGCCATATCACTATCCCCAAATTTGCCTTTCTAATATAGAACAAAATAAATAGAAAACATTATATTTTTAATAATGGAAGTTATCTCTATTAGTATTTCCTTTGTAAGCCAATGGAAAATATGATAAAGGTATTTTGGTTTAATGGACAGATGAAACTTAACCATTGGCTCTTGTGTATGTACAGTATATTTCAGTATAATAAAACATTTTGCTAACCTGCAGGTGTTATTGTTTTTCTCTAGGTTGTACAGTAGCAGCAAATCGGAGTTGAAGGATGGGTTCCATTTAACACCTAAGGAGCGTTATGTGGTGTTAAAGTGCGCACTCAGCTAAAACCCAGTGTAAAGAAGTATGAAACCGAGAATGTAGCTGTGCTCATATTTCGTTTTAGAGCAGCCAAAGGTAAAACTACATATGGGCAAAGGTAGTACGTGATCCTTTCTGCTGTCACAGTGTCCTGGTGCAATTAGGAAGCTTGTTTATCCCATTCTGCAAGAGGGGAAAGAAGCACTGAGGAGAAAGTGAATGACTTGCCAGAGAGCAGGCAGAGAAGAGCAGGCAGGAGAAATGAATTCATGACAGCTTTTCTGTGGCACTACCTGGTCTCGTGAACAACTGCTATATATTTAACTGAGGGTTGAGGAATCTTGATCTTTGCTTTGTTCAGCACTGTTCGGGGAGGCTACTTGTGTTTCTGTGTTCTTGGCTTACAGCCCATCACACAGCTTGAACACTGCCAAAACTGCCATGTTAAGGGCCATGGATTTCATGATCTTCACCCTTAGTACAGAATCAACAAAATAAAAGGATTGAGATTTCTTCAAGTAAATTAGAGAAATCATAAAAGAACAGAGGTGGCAGGGGCCTAGGAAGACCAGTTTGTCCACCATCCTGCCCTAAACAGGTACACTGGCCTGTGTCCTGCTGGTGACACATCTTACTGGCCAGGACAAGTTGTTACTGGTGTGAGGTTACAACTGGAAGAGTAAGCAGATGGCAGAGCAGTTGGAGTTCATGGCTGAACACAGTTAGGCTGGAGAGATACCTGAGCATAGGCACTGGATTAGTCTTGCAGCAGCAGTAGTTATGCCTGTGTTATCTCGACATTATTCTAACCTGTCCTTAGAAGTTTGTCTGAGTGGAGAGCACCGCTGGAGATGTCATAGCCTCCCTGGGTGTGCCGTTACAATTCTTTGCCATCCTAGTAAAATGTTTTCCTACAGTTTGACATAACTGTTGCTGCCTGCAGCTTAAGCTCGTTACTTCTAATTCTCATCACCACAGAAAGAGAACAAAGAATATTCCTTTCGGTCTCGTTTCTAGACTGAACAACTCAGCCCAGTGATGGTAAGACGGGTCAGGACATCACTGTGGTACCAGCTTCCCACAGCTTGGTGTGCTCTAGATGAATGTTGTCATCTTGCATTAGATTTCTCCCCTGTTTTTAGAAGAATTGCTGCATATCTGCATACCAATTTACCAGGAGCAATAAAGGATGCCAGCATCCCACACCCTTTCATTAACACCGCTTGGTGCAGTGACACAATGTGCAGCCTTTGTTCCCGCTGGGACTATGTTCCTCTCTCACCGTTCCGCCTAGCAGTGTCATCTTGTCTGCATTCCACCACCTCTAAGCTCCACTGTGAAATGGCTCATGCTTTTGCAAAGCAGTGGGAGGCTAGATATTATATATTACCATCATAACCATGGGAACCAGTAATACTGATGTAATGACAGTATAGCTGTACCCGTTTTGACTGGCCAATGAATACTTTTCCCCCAACCCTCCCTAAAATTGTCAAATTACCTAAACAACAAAGGAAAGGAAGAGCTGTTAATTGTTTCCTGTGCTAGATTTTTAAGATGATTTTAAGGTCAATGTTTTGCTTCAGAAAAAATCTGTCTTTCCTGTCAAGGAACTAACATTAAAGGATCCTTCATAAATCCCAGTGTTACGCATTTGTTTTACAATGCAAATGTCTAGCTGCAGTAATATTTATAGGCACTTAGAGGTGAGTTACAGTCCTTGAATAAATTATGTATAATGAATCATTATTATACCAGAGAAGAATGTCAGAAAAATGTAGCCCAGAAAAATTGAACATATTATTTGAAATGACATAGGGAAATCACACCACATACTTTGCATCCTGCCAGACCAGAACTTTCTTTTTTTTTTTCATACATCACTTCTAGTAGCAGCTATTTTACTAGCCTGCTCTTGACAACTCTTGAAATTCAATTATGGACGCTAATGTAGTTCTTGGCTGACAGGCATCACCTTTCACCGTTAGTAATAGCTAGCTCATCAGAAGATTTGATAAGCAAGAGAGTTATATATAAACCCTTACAAAAGATGTTTTCTTTAGTGATTAGAACTCATAATAGGTGTCTCTATTGCTTTAGAAGCTGCTTCTTGCTTAGCATAACCTTCTTGTAATGTAGTACAGCACTAATTAACAAATAACACTATATACTTCATTATTTGGGTCACAGGTAAAATGCTAGTGTCACCAAGCTGGCTATTTCACAGATGACATGTGGGTCATCTACTCAGGTTGGTTCTGTTACTAAATTTTTAGAAAAGCTAATTCCCATGTAGCATTTAAGGCCTAGTTCTGTCAGTGACAGCTGGAGTTGGGTCTAAAAAAGTATATAATTCAAGCTGATATTTCTTCTAATCTTTGCCCACATGGTAGCTTCTGCAAAGAAGCTGAGTTTGCTGCAGTGGAATACACAAATCAGCCTGTGATTTAAGGTCATGAAAATCCAGCACGCTCATGGGGCACAAAGGCGTTAGTTAATGAAAGGAGACTGTAAATGAGCAATCCCTGTGGTTGTTAGATTTAGTATAGAGTACAAGAAAGCACTGATATTTCACTTTAAAAAGTGACTGTCAGTAATGTCACCACGGGTTCTTGAATCTTCATGGGTGTGTGCGTGCACCAACCACATTTCTCAGTGATCAATGTGATCACATATTTGTGGCAGTTTACACCTTTGTAAATCAAGAAGAGAGGGGTATTACTGTGAGGTTTTATCTATATTCTTACTTTTCATCTCAACAGCAACAACAGGACTGAATAAAATCACTCGCTTTCCGTATTGCACCCATTCCTTGCTTAATTCATCTTTAAACCCTTCTGATCCAGTTTTTCAGCCCTCACCATATCACTTCCCTTATAGCCTTCTGCATACTGCTGGTGTTTAATGTCACGCATTGAACCTCATGAAGAATTCAAGTGAAGAGAAATCATGTGCCTGTGTTACTAAAGAAACATCTGTAGGGAACACTGCTTTGAAAAAACTACTAGCAGTGAAAGGTGATGATGGCAAATTAAATTAATAGTCAAATTAAGTGCTGCTGTGGGAGTGCAGAAGTCAATGAAGCTGCTTAAAGGATTGATTAGTCATAGATATTTAGGGACTAAGTTTTATTCATGTCAGGATGTTATGGATGCTAAAAATTTATGTGGGGTCAAGGAGACACTGCTTAGTTGGACTCAGGGAAAAGAAATTTACCAAGGGTTGCTAAAGATGCTGCTTAGAGCTTGGGAAGTCCTTGAGCTACAAGTTGCTGGAAATGACGAGAATATTCAACAAGCGAATATTTTCGTATTTCCTTATAGCATCTGCTTTTGACTGGTGTGAAAAATGCTGTATTGGACTAACCCAAAACTCACACTGAGTGAGTCACTTAGTGAGGATTTGAGGACCGAAAGAACA